TTTATTGGAAAAACACGGTACGTCGCCTAAACACGCTTTCACACTTATAACTAGCAAATGACAAAAAGATAATTCAGCTAACAGTAAGACAATTCATGAATAATTTATTTTTTACAATTGTTAAATGTTGTCAGAAATAAGTAGCCGAGTATTTACTACATAACGCTTTTTGACAACAGAAACTACTAGTTTACTTTGATCTGAAACAACTGTGTAATATTATATCAGTCTAATGTTAAATAAAATCTTCCATTCAGAACAACCTACTTACTTCGAGGAAAGCTAAAATTAAACTTTGTAACGAATAAAGCTAATTGATAAAATTTTATTTCGTTATTATTCATAGAAATTAGAGTGAATTGTTTCATTAGTTCGGTACTTTCGCTGTTAACAATATTTCCGGCCGTAATCCCAAAATACCAATCCTAAAATTTTATATTATTAAGCTAATAATATAAAACAATCTCTATAATGATAAAAAATAAACTATAAAGTAATGAAATTAGATATATTACGCGTTCTAACCAACACTGTTAATGAAAGTAACATTAAAGAAATAACGGAGTATACTTTACCAACTGAACCCAAAAACACTAGCTGTAGGCTTCACAATAACTTAGCACCATATGCGAGTAAAGGGGTTGCTATTTTACAGTGATCTGTAACGATTCTGTAATATTCTTTCAGTCTAATGTTAAAATATTCAATGACTTAGCACCATATGCGAGTAAAGGGATTGCTATTTTACAGTGATCTGTAACGATTCTGTAATATTCTTTCAGTCTAATGTTAAAATATTCAATGACTTAGCACCATATGCGATTAAAGGGGTTGCTATTTTACAGTGATCTGTAACGATTCTGTAATATTCTTTCAGTCTAATGTTAAAATATTCAATGACTTAGCACCATATGCGAGTAAAGGGATTGCTATTTTACAGTGATCTGTAACGATTCTGTAATATTCTTTCAGTCTAATGTTAAAATATTCAATGATTTAGCACCATATTCGAGTAAAGAGATTGCTATTTTACAGTGATCTGTAACGATTCTGTAATATTATTTCAGTCTAATGTTAAAATATTCAATGACTTAGCACCATATGCGATTAAAGGGATTGCGCCATGTGTTTAAGAGACAGTTTTTAATACCTAGCAGATCCACAAAACACAAAGTATTTTAAGAGCCATTTGTTGTTTTACTGGTACTAAACGATCTTTATATCCTTCTTTCAACAGACGTACGAAGCATATAATATAAATAATGATGGGGCATTGACAAAAAAAACAAGACTTTAGCGATAGGGGAAATGTTTGTTTATTTATTTCTAAATTTCACGCAAAGCTACACAACGTTATCTGCTCATAGCCACCCCTAATTTTGAATTGATAGACTAGAAGGAAGGCAAAACTATTTCTGTAACATTTAAAAAGCTACACTTATAGTAGTAGTCTAAACAATAGAATACAAAATAGTCCACATACATACAATACGACGTACAATCTTACACTAACAAACACTATTATGTTAAAATATTACACCAACAATATTACATGACGCACAATATTATACTAAGAAACAAAAATCCAACTCTTTTTTTTATATCATATCTTCAAGACACCAGATGAAAGCTAGAGGGATATGTTCTTCTACAGCGAAGTGAGTACATTTGTAAAGAGTATTATCTCACCTTTTCACCCAATTTTCCTTACAATATTTAACGAAAATACAGTACAGTTTGTTAATGATCAAAATTTTAATATCAATTGACGAAATCAACCATCATAAACATCATTAAGATAGTTAAAATACATGATAAACGAGGCTTCTGGCCAAAACCAAATACAAATCATTCTTCAAGAGAGAGAATAAAATGTACGCAGAGATTACATGAACATCTGATAAGCTCTCTTTAACTTATCTACAAAAACAAACAATATACCTATACTCTAGGAAGCAAGCCAACGTTACGATGTCTCGTTCAACATTCAACAGACCAGTAATGAATATGCTTGTTCCGCCTAACTGAATGTCGCAAAACTTCACAAACCTATCAGAATTACAAACCATCTACAATTCATGCCACATGTGGAACCTCCTCATTACCCAAATCTATCCATGAAATTTTTACATAATTATGCAAGACTCCCTATACTGCGGAACACGATTTTTCCCATGTTCAATAAATTATTTCAAGAAAACTCTAAATAAAAACTATCTCTTAAGTGACCTGAATAACTTTTTTATACATGATAATATTAGGGCTAAGTAAATATCTTCTCTAGTTTCCCATTTTAGGTCTCTAGGTAACAACAAGCTCATTTTTTTTTATTCGTATTGTAACATTGCACTGCTTGCGATGTATGTAAATATTAGTTTTTAAAGCCACTGACACGAGATGTTAAGCAAATGTGCTCTTAGTAGAATCGATCGATGGGCATGGTAGAAAAAGGCCTACTGGTATAAAAATACACTTATAGGCAATAGTAGTTTATGTCCTTTTGTTGTCATTCACTGCACAATCGTAATGTACTTAACGTCATAAACTTGTAACTTGCTACAAGAAAGGAGGAAGAAGTCAAACATGTATGTGACTATTGCAAGTCATCCAACATCCTGACCTGAAACACGGCATAGAAACAGTCAGATAGCTAGTCAACAGCATCCACCGCCAACTCTTCGGCTACTCTTGTCTGACCAAATAGTGAGATTTTACCATCACTCACGCACGGCCCCAAAGTGCGATAATAGGCCGCGAAACATGAATCCTCGGATTCACAATCTGAGCATGCTAACCACTAAGCCACAACCAGCTTAAGGTTGAGAGGAAATGCGATTTATCCTATTATGAACGACAGTTTCTCGGCTTTCAGTGTACAGGAAGTTTCATTCTTTTCAGCTGTCTCTGAACAAAACAGCAAGACTAAAACACACACCCCCTTCTCATAAAAAGAAAAGATTAGGATATTGATGACAAATTTACATCTCCTTCTGGTTCCTCGTCAATCAGATGCGTATGGGTGCAATTTGCGAAATTAATTTTTTATAACAAGCATTTCCAATTACAAGCATCCACATTTAACTATATTTTTTAATTTCGTAACATCTCTCTTTTTTTCTATCCGTTTCTCTATTTCTGCTTGTCACTATATTCTTATGTCTTTGTTTGCTAACTAGTATTTCTTTATATATTCTATGATAGATAATTTAGGCAGAGTATTCATATTGAACACTTATAGAAATATATTGGTGACAATACCATCTACTTATGCAGCTCAAATGTAGAAGACGACATTTCCAATTCCCCCGTCTTTGTTTTGTTATTTTAATGTTTATTTTTTACCATCTTAATCTATCTCAATGCTTTTCTCCATCCTGCTGTTTTAACCTATTTTCTAATTATTTTTTAATTTTTCTTCATATTTCCATATTTGTTAATTATTCTTGTCCTATATCTTGAGTTGTCTCTATCGCTCTTTCTTGTTTCTCTTTTGTATATGAGGATTTTTTCTCTCTATTGGTCATCTCGGGACTATCTTTCTCCATTTTTTTATATATTTTTTCCTGTTTAGTGGTTGCAGATGCCAATATGTCATAAAATTTAGTTTATTTTAAAACCAGCTCTATATATACATATTCGTTTGGTCCGTTGAACTAAATAGAGATATAATCTCATCTAGAGAATTGTTATAAAGTAAAACAATAAGTGGTTTCAGTGTGGGATGTTTAATTGTCTACCTAGCCAATGAGATATCTTGTGCTCTGAGCACTGCGCCATCTAGCGTATTTCAAATTAATGGGGAAGTTAGTCTATCATTAATGTTTAGGTTAATGTCCAACATTTAGCATGAGACTTTAGCAAACGCTCGTAGATAGGAAATATACCATAAGTACTACGTATGAAAACCGCTCATTTATTCTCACTCCCACAACCGTCAACTAAACTTAGTCTTATGTATAGTTCCTGCTAAGAACTAACCAAGCCTTATTCTGTGTACAAAACAAACATTTGTTATTGTACCTTAAGGTTTAGGCATCTTATAAACAGTTAGGAGTATTTACAAGTAATGTTATACAATACAACTTCGTATTTGTTGAAACTATTTTAATCACTAGGTGGGTAAATACTAACAAAGAGAGATCTGTTCGTCTGATCGAGTGATTTTTTTTGTAATATATACATATTGTGGACTGAATGGTGGATATAACACGCATACAGAGACATATCTATGATTATACAATGTAAACTATTCACAGTAAACAGTATACGTAGATTCACGTGGATATGGTAACGTGACATAAAACCGTAAACAAACGTGTAATAAAATGTATATGTGTGACGTTTGTATATAACGTTATGTTGAATTTCTTTAGAAACCCTTTTTGTAAAGATTTAGCTTTAAGTGATTCTGTTAATCCTCTTTACCACTTTCTAACTTTCCATCTGTTTGTTTATCCTAATTTTTCTTTTCGTGTACTTCCTATGAGATTCTTCGATTTTTCCCTTTTTTTCAGTTTCTAGTTATAAATTAATATCAAGTAAAACTTTTATATCAGATTGTTTTATTTTAAAGTTAATTTTAAAATATTAATTTCAGTTTGAATTCAGAACATTGCTAAACACTGACATATCATGCGCTTATGCGGGTCACTAAAGTTATTTCAATATGAACTTAAGCAAGTCATCTTATATTAATGTGTTTCCGTATGAACTCATGAAAGTCATCTCACAATACTTTGTTCTTTAAGCTTACACTCACGTAGGTCACCGTACTCCAATGTGTCTTCTTGTATGAACTCATGCTAGTCACTGTGCAGCACCCACTCGCGTAGGTCAGCACCCATGTCAGTGAAATTATACACCAAACATTAACACATCTGACCTTGCTTATGCTTATGTACGTCACAGTAGTGCAGATGTATTCATGCTAGTTGTCACATAGCAATGTATCTGTTACAGCAAGCACATACATGGGTCTTTATCAGCCAGTGTTCATCAGCATAAGCTCAGGAAAGTTAAAATATTCTTAGGTCACCCTGTCAGTGAAGGTAGGTAACTCTGCTAATCAAACGTATAGATTACTTGCTTGCTTGCATCTTAAATAACTACTGATCTAAATTTAAAAGAAAGTAACATATTCACGTATTTTGTGGAGAAAATACATGGAGTTTCTTGTGGAAGGCACCAGAGTTATAAAGGGTGTATATACTTTTTTGTCCTTATAGATAACTAAGGAGGTAAACGAATTGTACTGAAAAAAAAACACTTATCTTTTATGCAAAGGATTAACCATTACAGTTAGTTTATAAGGTGCTATATTCTTTTTAACTTCTGTTTATGAACATAACACATTCTCTATCTCTCTTGTATAACCCCATAATGTGGATTCCCGTTCATGTTTGTCATGTGTGTGTGACGACCCACGAAGTAGGTAAGGGGATCCTAGCTGAGTGCATCATTGGGCTGGGTATAATGTCTGGATTGGCATAATATATATATATATATATATATATATTAGTGGTTAGGGTGAAGTGTGCACCTTTCTTACGCTTCATTTCCTGTCTAGTGTCATGTGTTTGAGTACAGTGTCCAAAAAACCCTGGACACTCCTTCTAGGTCTTTATGATGGGTGTTATCAGTGGACATCAATTTTATTCTCCCGTTATAGCACCCTCAATTTTAACAGATATTGAGCAGGACTTTAAAGAAGCTCTAAACTGAAGACTTGTTACATAAGCATCCTTTACTTACAATATATCAGCGCCTTGTTTTCTTATTGAACACTTCTTTTATGACAAAATCTCTGGGTAAGATAATATTTTTCTTCAGTGTAGCTGACATAATTTCTGAATAGCAATACCAATGTGTTACAAACATCATATGAGTCTCTGTCCATAAATATAGGATATACGAGCTAACCAAACTGTCTGTTAACTTATATTCACCCTCTCTTCTTGCCAGTATCAAAGCAAGATATGTAAATTATCCCATGTAGCAATCTTTATCAAATTATCGTTTTTATTGCAACTGTCAGCATTTTAAGCATTCCAAGAGTTTTGTTATGGATCCCTTACCTGAGCCTAACATTCTAGTAAGGATCACGACAATGTATCAAGACAGAGACGCTATCGGTTAGCTGTCAAGACTTATACCCATTACTCGTAGTCATGATCTGGGTGGTACGATTGGAAGGAGGTGCATTATATCAATATGCTGAATAGTCTATTTAATAGCACCAAAACTAGCCACGCCAATTGTAAACAAATTAATGTTTTCAGCTGTAGTACAAACATATATATCTGTCATGGTGTAAAAGACTGTTTAGTTTAGATATTATTGATTAATTTATTTTGTGAGTGAGTATTATATTATTGTTTAGTTTTTGTTATAATAAGAGTTAAAAGCAGACAATTGTAGGAAATTGTGTTAATAATTCATTGATGTTGAGACTATTGAACGTCGCGTGCAATACATTGACGTCGAGAATATAGAGGTTTCTAGAAGGCGGACAGACGATTAAGTGATAAACATATAAATACTGTGAGAAGAGTGGAAACAGCAGACAGACAATAGCAGAAGAGAGTAAAGTTACGGGCAAGGAAAAGTTCGGCGTGAAGTTAACTACAGTAAAAATGATAAGCCCAACGATTAACATAAGCCTAACGTTTAATATATTAGAGTAGGACTAGCACTAGAAAAGAAGATAAGAATAATAATTTATTCCGTCAAAGCGTGGTTCTAAAGTAACCGAATCAGCCTGAGTGCACTTTGACAAAAGGAACAGAAGATATATTTAAGAAAGAAGACCAAACGATTACGGTAACTTGCGCCACAATTGTAAATGAATCACCCACAGAATACTAGTGCGATAGTAGTAGAGAAGATAGTTCGGCTTGTCAACTGAAATTCTAAAGCAATTTAATAGGCCTAAGTGGACTTTTGATAATAAGAAGAGAAATATATATATATATATATATATATATATTGGTGTTTATGATATGCCTATAATATCTATAGTGTGAAGAATTAGTTGTACATGCGTTTAAATTGTTCCGAATATATGTATTATTTTGAAAACAAGTGAAGTACGTGCTGTTCATTTATCATATAATTTATCGTTAACAAGTCACAGATACCTACTCTAGAATAATCCTAAGCCCAATAACAACACAGTATATATTTATACTATTAAGAAGTATAAGTAAAAACCTTTTTTATTTTGACAATTGGCGAAAGATTATATTTGATAAATTCTGACAATCTCTGTATCACCATCTGAGTCTTTTTCACCTTATGTTAAAATTTTGTCATCTCCGATTAAAAGTATATTTCCGTCTCCCATCTCTGCCAGTATGTGGCACCGTCGAGTGTTTGGGTCCTCTAACAGTTGGTCCATGTTTGTAGGACTATTGTACAGTCCTGGCATTCCTACTTGGAATAACTTCATGGGAATGGAAATAATGATTCTTCAACTTCCAGGAATTTCACTATGAAAGTCGATAGGAATAAAAAAGGCAAAATAAGACTTTCAAGCTTGGATCACAAAAATAAAAGAAATTCAAGTGTTTGTTACATATATCCACAAAACCTTCTAGGTGATAATGGCTATTTTTTGCTCCACGGAACTGTCGAAGTTTTTATTATAATATATAATAAGTCACTTTTATCAACCCACTTGCATCTTTATATAAGAAACATTCTTAAAACCTGATATTATCCAGTTTTTTTTGGCAATTTTAATTTGTGTGGAAAAGACCGAGTCTGTAATTGATGAGTTCATGGAAGGATGTAGATGTTTGTAAGTTATAACTTACTCCTGTAATACTTTATATACAACTGAAGACTGTTGATATCTCCAGTCACATTGATTGTAAAAATCATAGTTTGTTCTTTGTGTCTGTTACAGAGTTGATTACAGTCTGTGCGGTTGATTTCTCCAAGCCCGTTCCCTTGGCTGTGGTTTCGCTAGATAGTAGATAGGGACAGTGGGAATCTCGTTAATCAACTGAAGACTGTTGATATCTCCATTCACATTGATTGTAAAAATCATAGTTTGTTTTTTGTGTCTGTTACAGAGGGAGTTGCTTCGGTAGATCTAAGTGGTCCCGTAGATCAGCTGAAACTTTCTTTTGTCATTGTTAAAAAACAATGGACTAATGGATTCAGTCGATTGAGGGTCTGTGTGGAAACAAATGACAGGAGCAAATCTGTGGAGTGCCTAATCTGGGATTATAATCCTCCTTTTTAAATTCTGGTGCCACGTCTTATTTCCATACCTCAGCTAAGGCTATCACTGCAATTAGGTCTATACTGTTGACCTTACCTCTTTTTATTCTTTATTTAGAATGCGGATGACAATTCATATGATAGTGAAAATTTTCCCATTGTTTTGAGAAAAAGTAACAGGTACCAATGTTTTCCAACTAAATGACCACATTGTAAACTAGAGAAACGCTTTTGAAACTTCATCCTGCCATTTCTATTGAAGACATAGCTGGATGCATTGTCCATAAAGCTTTAACTACTGTATCTTCATTCCTATTTTTATATGACTTGATTGATTTGGCCATAGTCTGCAGTGGCTCTGTAGCTGTCCACGCGATCCTTTATATGTAATCTCACTTATGTTGGATCACATACAAGTTAAGTGGCACAAACAGTCTACCATTTACACTGACCCGATTAGTTTCTTTCAAGCCTTGGAGTCGCTTGATGACAATCCATAACCTTTCGTTTTGAACATCACAATAAATTGCCTGATTTATCAACACAGTCTTTATTATCCAGTTTTGTTGAATAACTGACAGCCACATCAACCTTCTATGCTGTATTCGAATCTCTATACATTTGATTCATGGATTCTATCTAGGAGAGGCTTCTTGTCTCTTAGAAGAAGCGTTTGGAAGGACAGGGTTCGTATCGGGTGAAATTAGTTTAACAATGTCTCACATTGGCCATTTTTAACCCAACATCATTATTTAACTGGTAATGATTAACCAATGTTTGACTCATGAAATTATCATCCATGTTTCACTATCGCAGCGGCTGTGCTTTAAACTGTCCTTTTTACTTAAGTTATCGGGAATGGTGACACTATTTTTACTTCTTCAGAAGTCATATGATTGAACATTTCCATAACTGTTTTTACTATTTACTCTTTCGATTTGACAATTACTGTTTTGTAAATTGTACCTTGTTTGGTGCGAATGACTTTAGTGGAGCTGTATGCCAAAACAAGAACAAGAACAACAAACTAACCAAACAACCAAACTCGTAATACAACTTAGATTTTTACAAGAGGAAATTTATTAAAGTACGTTGGACCATCACGTTATTGTTTAAAGTAGAAACATGTATGCTACCAGTGTGGCGGCCAAATGATAAATCACTGGGGAGAGATAGTTTCATATACATGACTTACACAAGAGACAAGAAAAACTGAACGATAATCTGTTATTGAAAACATTTATTAACGTATGCCACTAGCATATTGTTTTGAACAAGACTATTAAAATGGGAAAACAAGTTGTGAAGCTTATTGGAGAACCTTTTGAATTAATTATATAAAGGCTTCTTTCAACCATAAAGGCCCGGCATGGCCAGGTGGTTAGGGCGCTCGACTCACAATCTGAGGGTCGCGGGTTCGAATCCCCTTCACATCAAAGATGCTCGAACTTTCAGCCGTGGGGTAAAAGAGTAGCCCAAGAGTTGGCGGTGGGTGTTAATGACTAGCTGCCTTCCCTTTAGTCTTACACTGCTAAATTAGGGACGGCTAGCGCAGATAGCCCTCGTGTAGCTTTGCGCGAAATTCAAAACAAACAAACAAACAAATCAACCTTAAAATGCTTGATCGTACTCGCTTATTTACTTGCATTGGTTGTTATAAGATTTATTTTTAGATAAAATAGGCAAATAAAAAAATATCATCAACGAAGTTGATAAAAATCCGATTGTCAGTTATTCATTGTTTTTTATGTTGTTTTAAGCGCAAAGGTGGACACTGGACAATCTGCGCTCTGTCCACTGCAATATTCGAACCTCGAATTAT